CATCTGTGGAGGATGGATAGGGTGCTTATTGTACCTGTTGTTCTCTCCTGTACAGGTGTGATACCACACACACTACACAAAAGCCTGGGAACATTACAATTGAATAGAAATACATACATCACACTACAGAAGGCCACTATATTGAATACATGTCATATTGTTAGGAAATTCCTGAATACAGACACTGACACTGACACACTTATTTAATTAGTTTTGGTTGCTATGCCTTGACTCTGATCCGGCATAGTACACAGCCACCGGTTTAAACCGAGTATTACCCACTAAATCCAACACAATAATAATAATAATAATAATACATAAATTATATATTGGGTTGTTCGGAAAGTAAGTTTGTTTTTTTTTTTTGTGGAAAGAAACGCAATATTCTTATGATAAATAAATATTTTCTTGAATTATATGTTGACCATTTTGGTCAAATACCTGTTGTCATTGTTTGTGGTAGTAGCACAATTTCACATTCATAAAAGTTTTGATCATTGCTTACAAAAAATCGATCCAAGTGATTTTTGACATTGTAATTTCAAGTAAATGTCTTACAGTTAAAAAAAAAATTGTACAGATCGGAACGAGTAATGATCTGAGTGTGCTTGATCTGGCGAATACAGTTGGTGTGATATCATGTCCCATCTAAGTTATAACAGTTTCTGACGAGTTACCAAACTTGTGTGAAATTTCACATTATTATGGTAAAAACACTACAGCTGTTTTTTTATCAATTCTGGCTGGCTTTTTCTGTTTGATGATATTATGCAATTTGTTTACTCGAATGCAGTACACTTTCGAATCAGTTGTTAAATTGTCTGGTAAAAGCTCCAAAAAACATTTTCTTAATATCTCACCAAATAGAGCATTTCTCTTTAAGAACTCGTGGAATTCATATATCAAGCTTTGAAACGAAACCAATTTGTTTCAAGTAATCATAAACAGTTCAATTTGACGAATTTAATCTCTTAGTGATTTCATGTGTTATTATTCCACAGTTTGCTTCAATTGGTACTTTTAGTTTGTTTTCATTGGCTTTAATTGGCCATCCATAACGTGGTGCATCTTCAATACTGAAATTGCCAGAACGAAATTTTGTAAGCCAGTTTTGGCACTGTCATTCTGTCAACACATCTCCACCATACATGTCTCACAATTTTTTTCTTGCTTGAACAGCATTTTTATTTTTTTGGTAATAAAAAAGCAAAATATGCCAAAGATGCTGCTTTCGATCTTCCATATTTGATGGGACACAAAAAATAAACAATTGCACGAAATCAAACAAAATTTTTTACAAATAAGCCATAAAATGGTAGCTGTCAAAATATATAATGATAATACGGTTTAGAACCAAAATGGCGGGAAAAATACCATTAATCCGTCTAGTGATAGAAAAAATGAACTTACTTTCCGAACAACCCAATATATTACTTTAGTTAATAAGTCATGAGTGATTGAAGTAAGATAGCATGCAAAATAATGTAACAGTACATTGTTCTTATAAAAGATCTCTAATTAAAGTTATTGTGTGACAGAGATTTTTTCTTTATTTTTTATTTTTTTAATAATAATATAAAATCCAGTATCTTTCTGCATCAGTTCAATTTTAGCAGTNAAACAATAAAAAATTATACTTTAGAAGTTAATTTAGTATCAAAAACGTAAAATATTTGAGTAGCCCAAGATATAGCCAAAGATTGCAGCGCCACAGCACTAGTGAAAATTTAACTTTGCTGACTGGAATTCTTTCGGATAATTGACGTTTCAAAAGATTGACTTTCGGATAATCGACGCTCTACTGTATTTCTGTTTATCATAGCTTATCATAATTCTGTAGGAGTAGGTTTGTTCTTTGACAGCATCTTCTACCATCAACAGCATAATACGTTTGTAAATTTTCTAAAAATAATTTCTCAAGCTGCTTTCGGATTTACATAAGCCTCTTCTTCCCTCAACAAAAGTATGAAGTAGTCCTATTGTCCTATTGTCCTATCATACGGTAGGAGACACGACACTAATTTAAAATAATTATTTAGTGTTATTAAACATCCTATAAATACTTTAAAATAGTTTAATTTGTTTATTTACCTACGCTGGTAACATTTGTTGTTGTTAAACGTTTTTGCCATTTTTCAACAATATCTCATGAGTCAGTGTGCGACATGAATATGTGGTGCAACGTGTTTTACTTGGAGTTCAAACATGTACTTCTGCTTGCTGTACAAGTTTAACGTTTGAACTTTGCTTGCAACCTCTCTATTATTAGATTAAGAAAACCAAATCATAGTTTTTAATATTGTAATATGTTTTACTTAATTTGAGTCATCTTCAGCAACTCAAAATCTATATAGAATGTAAAGTTCAAAATCAAACATATACATTTAAAATTATAGAACAATTATAGAATGTTAGAATGTAAAAAATTAGAATAAATAAACATAAACAAAATATGAAAATAATATATTATTACTATGATAACACCAGACCTGGCTAATTTATAGTGAGGAGTGATTGATTTTCATGTATTAAAAGCACTGTTAATCTAATTCACATTTTTGTTTCATGAAAGCTTAATAATTCATTCTAATAACATTTTCTGCAACACATACAGTATTTATTAATTATTTATTATTTATTTATTTATTAACATACAACATTTATTAATTAATTAGTAATTAATGTTTCAGGTTACATCTTTTTAATAAAGACACTAAGATATAAATTAAACAACACCATTTATTTTTGACTACTCTATACTAGGCCAAACTCTATTTGTATGTCCTTGGTGTATGAACGTGTGATTTGTAGGAGTTGATGAAGTTGTTTCTGTGTGGATGCATAAAGTTTTATGTTGTCCATGTACATGAGATGTGACAGCATAAACTGTGTTGTTTTTTCATGTCTAATACTGTAGCCATATTGCATGTTGTTTAACATGTTGGATAATGGGTTCAGGGCTAGGCAGAACCAGAGAGGACTCAAGGAATCTCCTTGAAAAATCCTTGAATAATGAATATTTGATTTGTTTGTATGGAAGTGTTACTAACCCTGAGATGTAGTGTTATTCTCCAGTGCTACATAGTGTTTTGGAAGAATGCAATGAGTGATGGATGTATTTTGTACATGTGTAGAATATGTAGCAGCCAACTGTGTGGAACACTGTCGAATGCTTTTCTGTAGTCTATATATGCCATGTGTATGTTTCTGTGTTGTTTGTGTGCTTGCCGTAGAATGACCGAATCTATGAGTAACTGTTCTTTGCATCCCCTGTGATTTCTACGCAACCTTTTTGTTGTTCTGTAAGAATGTCGTGTTCTTCAACATGTTTGTATATTTTGTTTGTGATACATGATGTCAATAATTTGTAAGTGTTGGTAGACATGTAATTGGTCTGTATTGTGTGGGGTCTGTGGTGTTGTTGTTTTTAGGTTTCATGTAGGTGATGCCCTAGTAAGAAATTTTGGCATGTCTTGTGGATTGATGATGTGTGTTAGATGTTTAGCTAGTTCCTGATGCAGTGATGTAAAGTTTTTGTACCAGAAATTGTGAATGTTGTCTACACCAGGTGTCTTCCAGTTGTGTGTTCTGTTAACAGCATAGCGAATGTCGTGTATGTTTATTTCAGTACAGGGCATAGTTGGTATGTTGTGCAAGTTTCTGTTCTCCTTCTCGATCCAGCCTGCAACAGCATTGTGTGTAACAGCATTGGACCAAAGAGAAAACCAATAAGTTGTGAGTTCTTCTTCTGTTGGTGTGCCACTGTGTTGTGTGTATCAGTGTTTGTTTTGGTACTGATTTGTCTGTAGAAAAGTTTTTCATTGTTTGTGAATAAGTTATTTTGTTGTTTTTGTAGCATACATGTTTTGTATCGTTTGAGTCTATGTGCTTTGGCTGCGAGTTTTTGTTTTAGTGTATTGATGTATTCTGTGATGTTCGTGTTTTGTGTGTGTTTTGATTTTTCTTGAAAATGTTTTTGAGTTGTTTCCTTAATTTGGGTGTTATGTTGTTTTTAGTGTATTGTGTCAGCCTGCCTAATTGCTGTCTAATGTCATTTATTTGTGTTTCTATCCTTCTCTGCCAGGCAGGCTTGTGATAGGATTGTGTTTTGTGTCTGTCTGTCTGTGAGTGTATTTTCAGTCCATGGTGTGTCACTACTGTGACTGCTCCAGCATAAACTAATGTATGAATGTCTGAGAGTGTAGAAATTAAATGGATGTAGTGTGGTAGTAAGTGAGTGTTCACGTAATTTAGTGTTTTCCCTACTATCTTTAACGTGTTGATTTTCGGTATTCATGGTCTTTGTGTGGGATCTGTACCTGTATATTTAGTGAGTGTTTCCTGAAATATAAGTGAGAGTGCATTAACTAAATCTATGTCTATGTTATCAGTGATGGATGAGGAAGTGTCTGTAGTATCATTAATGGTAGTTGTTGTGTGTGTGCTATTATCAATGCTTGTTGCTGGATTATCCTGACACGTTAAGTGATCTTCATTAATGATAAATGTTTTTGTCTGTTGATGTATTTGATCAGCAACCTGTTGTTTGATAAGTTCAAGTGTTGTTTGTGGGATAAGGTTGTTGTGTATAATTGTTCTTTTTTGATCGGCAACCCTTTGTTTGGTGACAGTGAGATGAGGATATTGTTGTGTGTATCTATAGTTGTTATCTGTACGCTGTCATGTTTGTTTTGAGTTTTGTGATGGTGTAGTAAGTATGGATGATAAACTCATTCATTTCTGTTGTCCATTTCATCTGTTGGTGTGGTTTTCCAGTCTTTGTGGTCTGTGGATGCATTACCACAGAAACACCAAGGCTAGGCTGGTTCCTCACATCTGTTGAGGGCATTGCAGTAGCCATGATTGGGACAGGTGCTGCTTTTGCTACCAGTAACCAAGGGAGACTGTGGCCTATTTTTCAAACGTGAGCCTCTGCCTAACCCACGAATGCAGACCTTGTTAACCTGGGTGACATCTGAACTGGTATCACACTTTGATCTGGTTACTACCATGATAAATATCTCCACAGAATGTGGGTGTGGTCACTCTTAGCTTCATTTCTCCCCATAGACCTTACTGACATGGGTGTCCCTACCAGGAGCTTGTGCTCCAGCCTGCATTGCCCTATGGATCAGTAAAATTACTTGGCTCTCCCACCACAACCAGGTGGTGACCACAGGAGAGATTATTATTATTATTATTATTATTATTATTACTATCAATCCATCTCAATTATATATATAGATAATGACATAGCTTATTGAAAATAATCAGTGTATAATAATTTTTTGAATTATTACATATTGTTATTTAAAGTTTATAATTTAGAAAAAATAATTATAATTTATCGGTTTTTTATTATGTATATATGTGTGACATAAATGTAATTTATATTTTATTTCTAGGGAAGTAAAAGCTGAAAAGCCATCATTTGTGCAGTCATTAAGATCTTTAGTAAGTAATTTGATTTCACATTATTATATTAAAATTAAATTATTTCAGTTTATTAATTTCTTAATAGAATTTCTATAATTATAAAATTTATTGGTTAATTGGATTATTTTTTTAGATTGTGGAATCTGGTAAATCAGCACAATTTGTCTGCAGAATTGAGTCTAAAACTGAAGCAAAAGTAAATTGGTACAGGTAAAAATCCAAATAATTACTTTAGATAATGAAAACAATTGATTTTTACTTAAATAAAATGTTCACATAAAATTTATTAAGAATATAATTACTAGAGATAAAACATTAATCAAAGACTCAAAGGAGTATAAAACAACATTTACTGGATCACTTGTAAAATTATTTATTGAGAAAACTTCAATTGAACATTCTGGTATGTATACCTGTGAAGTTATTAATGAATATGGAAGAGAAGAAAGTTCAGCAGAACTTATTGTAAGAGGTAGGTATTCAGTCAGTTGAATATAAATTTTATTTAAATTAATGTAAATCTAATGTAATTAATATTTCAAATACTGAAAGCTATTTATTGAAACAAAATGAAAATTCTTATAAAAAATTTTTTAATAAATATATTTCTANACAGTAGCTCCTTGTTATATTGCAGATTTGGATATATTGTGTTTTGTTTTGCTCCCCAAATTTTAAAAATACTTGACTCAATAAAGTTAAAATGTAAATTTTTATTGAATTTTTTTTTTTGCACAAAATATGGTATTTTAATTCATACCATTGTCCTTGAAACTACTACTGCAGGTGAAATCAATAAATTTGTGAAGATCTAAATAGGCAAAACAGGTGGACAGATCAATTATCATTTATGTTTCCTTTTGATATTAAAAGTTGTTTATATATTGGTTTTAAGTAGTCTCCACATTTACAACTTTCTATAAGTTTGAAATTTCATACCTCAGTATTGAGTCAATTCATATAAAAGGTATGAAATTTTGAACTCACCTCAAAATGTGTAATGAGAAGATTTCTTTATTTCTGAATGGAAAGTTCTAAAATTTTTATACAGTAGTAACTTTATTTTGCTTTTGAGAGAATTTTTACTCTGTTTAATTTTATAAGTTTTGATGTTCTATTATATGTTCAATATTTAGTTTTTAAATTTTCATTTATTGTATTTATAATTTTCATTGAAAAATATAGATTACATGAATTTTTAATGAGCAGTTTATTGTAAAATATAGCACTGTTGTAATTAATTGTGCAACTGATATTTTTTTTTATACAGACAGTATTTTTCTTTAAAAGTCATTGTTAAAGAAACAATAATGCTAAATAGGTGTTTATGGTATCAATATTTATGTAAACATCATTTAATACTATACAACCAAGAATAAAATTCAGTATTGCAAAACTAAGCTTATTTTATATCAGAAACACTTGCTGATGAAAGAATAGAGATTTCATAGCATGTATAATTTGTTTAGTATAAGTCCAGAATTTTTAGTGTTCAGTTATATCATGTTTTTTTTTTTTTTTCTCCTGACGAGCTCAATATAACAAGGGTTACTGTGTTTAAAAAATTATTAAAAATTATTGAAATTAGATATGTAAATATAAATATTATTTTAGATTGATAATATGTCAGCTGATATGGAATTGCTTGAAAGGTTATTATCAGAAATATTGCAGAAATATATAATACATACTAAAACATCTGTTCGTCAGGTAAGATTGATTTAATATTTATATTTATTTATTTATAATTTATTTATTTGTACCTATTTATCAAACTTAGAAACAAAAAATAAATTAATTTTGAAATTTTTTTCACAAAGGTATGCTTTCTTTCTAATTTTGAAACATATTTGAAACATATATTAATTTTTAATTATTCACATATGCTGTTTACACCAAGTGGTTAAACAAAAGTAGAATTCACAAAATGTAGTGCAAGGAGTTTAGCAATGTTGTAAGTGCATCAAACTTGGTAATGCCAAGAGTCAGTAATGGCAACTTACAATGATACCAAGTCTGACTTATAGTGTCATCAAACTCCTTCCACTAATACAAGTTTTACTTTCATTTGATCACTCAATTCTTAATTGTACTTGTATTGTTATACTATCTTTTTCCTTTCTAGTCTTTCTTGGGATAATTTCATTCTGGAATCACATCCCTTAATATCCCAAATCTGGGAAGAGATTTTTCCTCCTTCGTTATTGATTCAGTTTTGATTTTTACAAATGGTATTTCATCAAAATGTCTACAAGTTGTCTTGCATGGAAGTATTGTTTATTCTTGTGACAGATGTTCCTGGTAGAATTTGTTTTAGCTTTTTAGTTTGATTAATAAAATTTAAAGTATAATAAAGAAAATTCACATCTTTCGTCCACTTTCCAGCAATAACTGTTTACTGTACAAATTTATTAAACAGCATAATTCTAATTCAGCTTTTATTGCATAATATGGAACCAATCTATTTAAACTAAATAATTGTTTATAATACAATATATGTAATTTTGATAGATAAATTAATTAATAAATTGTAATACACCCCATAATGAGATTCCATAGAGTAATATTGAATCAATCAAGATATCACATGATTTCTTATGAGGGGAAGGAAATATTGGAATTTTTTATTACACATGTTAATTATTCTGTCTTTTTTATTCTTGACCATAATTTCTTTGTCAATTTTGTCATTTCAGAAGTCAAGGAATTTGTTATACTTATTCTAAGACATTTGATTTGTTTTACTACATTCAAGAATTTCTGACAAAAAATTCGACTCTTTTTTGCTACCTTTTACCATTACTAAATATCAATATTTTAGGTTTTTCTTCATTAATTTTTAAATCATTGTTTAAAGTAAATTTTGCTAACACATTTCCTCATGTCATGTCATTGTTAACACATTAATAACTTTCCTCATGTAAAAGACATGAAGAAAATAACAGTTTCTTGGTGGAGTCAATCTTTTATTTGAAGCTACTCATCCACCTCAATATGTAAACATTACAAAATCCCTTTGGCAATGGCACAATATTAAGAATAAATACATTTGATAAAAATTTACAAAATCTAAGAAAACAATACAAAAAAAGCATTGTCTCACTTGTCCTTTCACACACTTTTTTTTTCATGTTTATTTTTTTTCATATTGATTGTATTTGTGATTAATAAAATGTCATCTGCATATAACAAAAAATAAATATCTCTATCTAAAAACCTCAAATGTTCTTCCTTCATTTTATTATGTTTGTTTATTAAATCATTCAAATATAAGATAAATAGTATAAGACTTAGTGGCTGCTCTTGGAGTAGATCCCTTTTTACCATCTTTTAATGTATGAACTTTAGCTAGCAAATTTGTAAATAATATTTTTATTAATAACTGAAATTTATGTGAAATTTCCAAAAACTGTAATTTATAAAACAATCTCTTTAAATTCTTTAAATTCACTGGATTAAATGCTTTCCAAAGTTCTACAAAACAAATATTAATCTATGTTGTTTTTACTTAGTGGATATAGTATTAAGAGGTATAACATGAAAATTGCTGACATTGTACTCTTTCAAATTGCTGTGTATTTATTATATTTTTGATTTTCACATTTTTGTCAAGATTGATGTAAATATTTTCCAATTTACTGGGATAATAGTTATTTAAATCATCATTATCTTTTTTATATGTATTACTTTCATCTTAATTTTTTCAAGTCTTGAGGAATTTCATAAACAAGTTGAGTAAATGACATCTTAAACATTCTCTTGAGACATTTATTAATAAGGGCAAATCATTGTCTATACCTGGGGCTGAATTAAGTTTTGTTCTACCCAGCATTCTTTTGTATCTTTTGTTACTGTATTTGGACATCCAAAATCAGATCAAACTAGGTCTATTTATACAATTCAGCACATCAAAACTTAATGAATGTTGAATAATGAAGCTCTTTACATTAAAGTAAAAAACTATTTATTCAATAGAATGTTATTACAAACCATTTGATAAATTATATTGATATTCAAATATGTGCTTCTTGTCCTTAATTACTTATATATTGCTTCTGCCCACTTTGGACACTAGGACTTGTTATACCTAGGGAAGTGAATCACACAATTTCTAGGTAAAAGAAAGTCCAAAGTGGACAAAGACATAATATACATGTAAAGTACTATATTATTTTTCCGACTTTCCAACGATTATCGACACTACTGTGTGCCGGAAATAGCCGTTCCCTAACGGGTACTTTACACGGATTCGCGTTAGTGTGCCAGGCCTGGACTTTAAGCGTGCACCGAATTAAATAATGACAAAGTTTGTCAATAACAAAAATCAAATATTTAATTAAACTTCTATTAATAAACTCTATACAGTATTTAGTAAAAATCAAACAATAATTTATTCAATGAAACTCAACAAGAATCAATCCGACAAACTCAAATCAATCTATTTCTAACTTAATTCTATTCCCCTTTGGAATTCGACAAAATCAAAGAATTAACTTATAAACAATAATTCTTATAAATTAAAGATCCTAATCGTCACCTCAATATACTAGGAACCTATTTCCTCAAACTCTCAAGACTTTCTATAATCGTCGATCCACAAATCGAATAACTTCAAAATCCTATCGGACACCTCTCTCGTTCACTGCTACGAAGCTCACCAAAGCTCGTTGCTATCAGGAATTCACCTCGTTCGTTTTCACTTGAGTTAGAGGCTTTATAGTGTGAGGTGACGTCACAATTCTGAATGAGCTCACTCTCCTCATTTACATACTTATCTGTAACATTAAATTTTTCTTGTTTATCTGGCAGATTATTTTCCGACAATACTTCGCTAACCTTTTACATTATTCTTTTTAACAATTATCGGGATGCTTTATTCTTTAAAGATTTAACAATTCCTAACTGGGTTGTGGGGTCTCCCCCCCTTTTCATCGGTGCGGACTTACTTTTTTCCGCTCGGGAAGCGCAAGTGTGCGCGAGTTTTTCTACGGCGCTTTTCTTTCGTCGGTGAGTTGGTTTTTCTTCTATTTTTAAGTTACTAAGGTGAATGGTGAGGAAACCTTCATCTTAACTAAACATAAGCCCCAAACAAATTATAATGAAAGCAAAATAAAAGTAAAATAAAAATAAAGCTCAGACTTGGTTCCTTACATACAGGGTGTCCACCATGAACCTGACACATTTGAAACTGTTGTAAAAAATCTACTGCTCAGGAAGGATGTAAAGTAATGCACATTTTATGATAAAAATCTCAAAAAGTTTTATTAAAAAAATCAGTGAACCTCTGCATGAGCTCCTTTTGTTGCATGTAGAACATCAAGTCTATACTCCATTTCCTGCCAGGTTCTTTCAAGCATCTCAGGCATGACAGTAGCAACAGCATTGTGAATGCACACATGAAGATGTTGAAGGTCATGAATTTTGACACCAGTGTAAACCTTGTCCTTGACAAATCCCCAAAAGAAAAAGTCTAAGAGCGTAATATCCAGCGATCAAGGAGGCCACAGTATCGGTCCTCCATGCCCAATCCAACAATCGAGAAACTGTGTGTCAAGGAAATGTCAAATATGCAGGCCACAATTTGGAGGAGCACCGTCATGCTGGAAAATTAAATCTGTTAAATAATGGAATTTGTTTCAGCGTACCACCACACAGCTTGTGCCCACTCCTGTGGAGAAGCCATTTTTCATTTGACTACTGCCATGCTACCTACAGTCACTTTGGTGGGTTTTCAAAATTACCTATACAACTTCCACAGTTTCTCCACCTAATAAAATGCACAATATCTGATTACTGCCTTGCACTTCGATATGGCAGTCGAAACAAATGTGTCAGGTTCATGGTGGACACCCTGTATATTGATATTTATTTATTCAATTCCAAAAAATTTTTGAATCCTTAATCTTTACAAGATCATAACAAACTTTTTATAGAAATTTTTTTTTTTTTTTTCGTTTTTGGTTATGCACAGCAATTTAAACTTACTTTTTACCTGTAGATAATTTTGTACTTCTGAAACAGAACTACTGTGAAATGTATAAAGGCAGTGATTTTTCTTATTCTTCATTTCCCTGCAGTATTCATCAAACCATAGGATTTGTTGATACACCTTCCATTGAAATCACATATACAAATTTTATGTAAAAGTTCAACTGATTATCCTTTTTTATTGTGTATATCTTGCTAAAACATATTATTATTTGGTAATTTTATTTCTTATAATTCATATAACTTTTATAAGTACAGGAACTTCCCTACTTACAAACAATTTGACCATACGTTTAAAATTTAAATTTTGCATGGATTGTGAAGTTCTCTTGCCACTCATGGGGTGGTGTTGAAGTTGGTAACATCAGAATAATGGTGTTTTTCACTATTGTTTACAATTATTATAAAGTTTTACAATTAGTGCTTCAAAAATGCATTTGAAACATAATAATAAATCTAATAGTGGAGATAAATACAAAATGTTGCTCTACTATTGTGGAAACAAAACTGAACAGTATAAAACTAAGTGCATTAGATGTAAAAAACCACATTTGAAACATCTACTACTAAGCAATAGTGAGTGGGTAAATGAACATAACTTATTCTGTTAAGTACATTGAAGGATCAAACACTAACAATACATGGTTCTTCTTTGTACAAATGTACTTTCTAGATTAAATTTTGACTTAGAATAAAACATAGGAAACCTAATGTGTCTGTAAGTAGGGGAGTATTTATAAAAGATTTTACAATAAATTAAAATTGATTTTGGATTTATAATTTTTGCTGAAAATGCTTATTTGTATAAAATTGAAGTATTTGAAGCTTTGTACAGATAAACACTTTGTTATTTATATTGCTTTGGTACATAAAAATCTGAAATTAATTTTGAATATTTTAGGCATCATGTGTTTGGTTGCTTACCCTCTTGAAGCAATGTGGAAATCAACAAGTGATGAAAATTCAGTTAGCAACCATTCAAAATTCATTGATGAATTTACTTGCTGATTCTAATGGTAAGAAATCCTTATAAATTATTCCTCAGATGATTTCAGCATCCCTACATAAGATTCACTTCTATTGGAGTCAAAACGATAATACAGTTTCACAATCCAGAAAATTAATGAATTACAGTGGTACCTCGGTATATGTCTGCATTAGAATATGTCCTGTTTGGACGAAACAAATTTTGCTTGATATACAACTTAATTCAATTATACGTGCCATCTATGAACAAGTAGCACTATCGGTGTATTAGACCAGACTAGATGTTCGCGGTGCCACGGTTTATAACTTTGTTAAATTTCTTCTGATTTTAATTAGTAAGTAAAATTTTATTATTTTTATTAATAATGAATTACAAAAAGGCAAATGAAAAGCAACAGAAAACTAAAAAAATGACTAGAATCACAATGGAACTGAAAAAAAAGAGATTGTTGAGAAATATGAAGGTGGCATGCGTGTTCGAGATTTAACTGTTGCATACCGTATTCTAAGAACAACACTATAGACAATCTTGAAAAATAAAGACATTATTAAATTTGCTAACATTGCGAAAGGGGTTAAATCAATTTCTAAACAGAGATCGAAGACATTAGATCATGTTGAGAAATTGCTTTTGCTTTGGATAACTGAAAAACAGTGTGCTGGCAACAGCGTATCAGATGCAATTATTTGCGAGAAAGCTAAAAAGATACATGCTGATCTCATGAAAAATCAAGTAGGAACTAGGCAGGAAAGCGAGGTGTTTAAAGCTAGCCATTCTTTTACATGAGAATGGATTAATCATTCTTACATTACTTCTTATGGGAAAGATTGGTTTGATATATGTCCTGTTCAGTATAAGTCCAAACACCAGGAATGAATTAAGGTTGTATACCAAGGTTCCACTGTATTATTATTATATCAATTATAAGTTTTAATTTACACGACTGTAAATTTACAATTTTATTATTCAAAATTTCGTTTTTATAACTTGAAGATTTTTTTCTTTTCAAGGGTTAAAAAAAAAAAGAAAAGTATTATATTTTATTTAATTAAATTATTTGCTGGATTATGAAGATGTTTTTTCTATTAAGATCTTAAGTCTAAAATAAATTTTTTATAAATTTAAAATTAACTATATTCAAAATATAATCTGATATACTTTAAAAGATTTTTAAGCTTCTTTTATATGAGGTGTGACAATTTAATTCTCAGAATGGTCCCATAGTGTTGCCCATAACATAATTATATCAAAATGACATGTGCATTTGTGTTTGAATGTGTTTGAAGTAGTACATGCATAAATTTCAAGTTGATAGAGTTAATTGTTAATTAGTTGTTGGGAAGGTAATAGTTATATGCATATACTCTTTGGCATGAAAATGGTTGACCAAATTTAGAGCAATGCATTAATATTAAATTTTGGATGAGAATCAGCAAATGCGCTACTGAAACATTAAAACTGTTGGAAGTGGCTTATGGTGAAGATGCTGTGGAAAAAGTCCAGTGTGTTTGAGTGGCATAAGAGATTTTGCAAAAGGCACACACATTGCACCACAGTTTAAGACCATGCTGGTGTGTTTCTTCAATCACAAGGGAATAGTCCACCAAGAATTTATTGAACATGGACAAAGTGTCAACCAACAATACTTATTTAGAAGTACTGCAGAGATTATGAGATTCTGTTTGATGAAAAAGACACAAACTGTGGTTGGTCAAGTTGATCATTAATCATGACAATGCACCAAGTCACAGTGAGTTCACTGTGAGACATTTTCTGGCCAAAGAAGCAATTATCCAATTACTGTAGATCATCTTGCCCATTCACCTGGCTTAGCAGCTTCCTCCCTGTGATTCTGGCTATTTCCAAAATTAAAAGCTGTGCAGAAAGAATGAAGATTTTCTAATATAACTGATACCAACAGAATGTGAGACAGCTGCTCAATAGTATTTCAGAAAATGAGATACAGGCCTGCTTCCAGAAATGGAAACACCATTTAAGTCAGTGTATAGATACAAGGAGAGTACTTTGAAGGTAACAGTAGCCAATAGTGTGCAGTTTCACATGTATATTTTTTTAAAGGTGCATTCTGGGAATTAAATTATCACATCTTGTATACAATTTTAATCATATAAAATTTTTATTAAGCCAATTTTATTCCATATTATTTGATTTTATATATTAATCTTAGTATTAGTTAGATTTATGTCTAAGTAATAAGTATAAATTAATTTTTCAATGCTTATCACAATAAAATTTCATTTCTTTAGGACATTTTCAAATGTTATATATAAATTTAATATTATATACAATTCAAAAATAGAGCAAATATGTATATACAGTAGAGCGTCGATTTTCCGAATAAATTGGGGACTGGGGTTGTTCGTATAACTGATATTTCGGATAACCGATTTATGTACGAAAAAATAGTTTAACGTATCCGATGTCGAAATTTTTCTCCGTTGCGTGTCGCTTCGCGTTGAATTTTCGTCGATGTTAAGCTTAACAAAGACTATTGTATCGTTAAAAATTATTTTTTTATTTTGTACAAACAAAATAAATATATTGAAAAATATAAAAACAATAAAAAATTATACTTCAGATGTTAATTTAGTATCAAAAACGTAAAATATTTGAGTAGCCCAAGACATAGGCAAAGATTGAAGCTCCACAGCACTGGCGAAAATTTAAATTTGCCGACTGGAAATCTTTCGAATGATTGACTTTCGGAAAATCGACGCTCTGCTGTATATAGATAAAGAAGATGAACAGTTAAAGAATAATTATTTTTCATTTATGTTTGAACATAAGAATATTTGAAAGTTTTATGCTTAGGAAAATTTTTAAAAGTAACTCAAGTGATTGAAAAATAAATATGTTATGCATCAAGTTACAAAATGTAATATTTTGAAAAAACTTAAATAATCAGTACAAAATCTAGCAAAATAACAAAATGTATGAAAGTGAATAGTCATTATAGTTTCTCTGTCATTATTTTTAGTCCATTTTCTTAGAAATAAAAATGAAATTTAAACTGTAAGAGATTGTTATATATTGGCAACTGTGTATTTGTTTTTAAAATATATTTATTTTAGTGCATATTTGCTTCCCATTTTTACAATTATTTTGCTAAATATTTTCTGCTTATGTATTATAGACTGTTTATTTCATTTTATTCCTTATTGTATTTATTAAGACATTAAAGTTGTATGAAATTTTTCATATTTTAGTTCTTAGATTCTTTAGAATTCTTTAGAATTCAATTAGTAAATCAAGTGGTTTTGCAATTCAATCCTTGCAAATATTTTAGATAATTCAATTAATTTCTCTTCCAATACTGTATATTTTAAAATTTTTTCTTGAAGCCAAAAACAGATTGATCTTTGAACATGCTAATAAATAAAACAACACATCTTGCTTATAATTTAGATACACACAAATAAGTCAACAAATCTGATTATAATTTACAGAAAGTTTAACAAAGTTTATGTAACTCTCTTATTGATATTATATGTTGATTTGTTTTCTGATACCGTATTTTACTATTTATTGACTATTGAACACAAGATTGTTGTATTAATTAAACACTTGGCTTTTTCCCATCTTTATTCAGTTGATACGGGTACTTCTACACATTTCGGGCACTTAGCCCCTCATCAGTCAACTAACGATGAAGAACATATACAATATCGAATTATCACATTTTACAAAAAGTAAATTATGCAAATTTAATCCAAACACATGTATATTTTTTAAAAACATACCATTAAACATGCAATGTATGCAATGACACTTATGCATTACAAGTTCTCATTCTCCCAACTAGAAGGATAAGTTGATTGCATCAATGTTATAAAATCTACATACATCTAACTAAACAATAAAACACTATATAAATATACAAGCTTATACGGGTATGAAACAAAGACGTACTAAGTCTCATCTAGTGCTGTTTCTTACTGTTAAGTAGACGCAATATATCTTCCATCCTCTTATCAAAGTTGATGAATATACTTGGCTGACTTCTTTCAAATTTCTACTTTGGCACAACACAGAATCAGAGAAACTTCTCTTAACCTACTATAGTATATTTTATTTCTTATCGGTTCATCACACAATATTGAGCTTGGTTGCTGTTTTCGCTAATTTGCATTTTCAACCATTCACGACAGTCGGAATTTACATAAGTATTGGAATAGCCAAAAACAGCCAAATAAATTAAAATTCTTTAAAATATCTTTTTTAAAAAAATTTTTCTAAAAAAATATATTTACAATATTTTCAACCAATCTTTGCTTATTTTTATGCTTAAGTTCCTATTTATACAATTTTTGGAGTTTATAATAGCCACACTTTCTTTGAATTTCCTACTATATGTATTCTTTATATAAGATTTTTATATTAGCTTTATCTATATTACAGTTATTTAGTAGGCAATGATCATAAAAGACGGAATTTAATCTGTGATATTTCATATCTGCAATATGTTCTTTTAATCTTGTATTTAGCTTACGTTTGGTTTCACCTATATAAATATTGGCATCTTTACAAGTACATGGGATCTTGTAGACTACATTTTTGGTTTCTTCTTTAGTCTCTTTACGTTGTTTTGTACATTGTTTGTTTTTTATTCTGGCTTGAAGTTTTTCATACTTAGGTGCAAGTTTTATGTTTACTTTCCTCATTTCTTTATTAATTTCTTCATATAAGCCCAGATACGAAATACATTAGTTTTCCGTATATAAAAGACTTATATGAAGAAATTAATAAAGAAATGAGGAAAGTAAACATAAAACTTGCACCTAAGTACGAAAAACTTCAAGCCAGAATAAAAAACAAAATGTACAAAACAAAGTAGAGAGACTAAAGAAGAAACCAAGAATGTAGTCTACCAGATCCCGTGTACTTGTAAAGATGCCAATATTTATATAGGTGAAACCAAACGTAAGCTAAATACAAGATTAAAAGAACATATTGCAGATATGAAATATCACAGATTAAATTCCGTCTTTTATGATCATTGCCTACTAAATAACTGTAATATAGATAAAGCTAATATAAAAATCTTATATAAAGAATACATATAATAGGAAATTTAAAGAAAGTGTGGCTATTATAAACTCCAAAAATTGTATAAATAGGAACTTAAGCATAAAAATAAGCAAAGATTGGTTGAAAATATTGTAAATATATTTTTTTAGAAAAATTTTTTTAAAAAAGATATTTTAAAGAATTTTAATTTATTTGGCTGTTTTTGGCTATTCCAATACTTATGTAAATTCCGACTGTCGTGAATGGTTGAAAATGCAAATTAGCGAAAACAGCAACCAAGCTCAATATTGTGTGATGAACCGATAAGAAATAAAATATACTATAGTAGGTTAAGAGAAGTTTCTCTGATTCTGTGTTGTGCCAAAGTAGAAATTTGAAAGAAGTCAGCCAAGTATATTCATCAACTTTGATAAGAGGATGGAAGATATATTGCGTCTACTTAACAGTAAGAAACAGCACTAGATGAGACTTAGTACGTCTTTGTTTCATACCCGTATAAGCTTGTATATTTATATAGTGTTTTATTGTTTAGTTAGATGTATGTAGATTTTATAACATTGATGCAATCAACTTATCCTTCTAGTTGGGAGAATGAGAACTTGTAATGCATAAGTGTCATTGCATACATTGCTTGTTTAATGGTATGTTTTTAAAAAATATACATGTGTTTGGATTAAATTTGTATAATTTACTTTTTGTAAAATGTGATAATTCGATATTGTATATGTTCTTCATCGTTAGTTGACTGATGAGGGGCTAAGTGCCCGAAATGTGAAGAAGTACCCGTATCAACTGAATAAAGATGGGAAAAAGCCAAGTGTTTAATTAATAACACAATCTTGTGTTTAACAGTCAAAAGATATTATATGTATTATTCATTCCTAGTGACAGATCAAAATAAGAACAACAAATGATTCAGCCAATATTATTACCATTTTTGTTAGGATGATTTATCATTTCTTATTTTTCAATTTCAATGTTTAAAATGTTTGTACTTGATCAATCTAAATTCCTTAAAAGAAGTTTAATCCTGGGGCTGTAAGTTGGATTTATGTCACTTCAGATTGGAAGTTCTACAGCATCTGCCTTATAGTAATGTTAAACTGAAAGTTTGTTGTAAATATGTTTGTACAGCTGAAAAATTTTCTTGTGGAAGTTGGTTGGGAAAACTAAAAGTTTGTTATTCTTAAAAGTTCATTATTATGAGGTTCATTATAACTAGATTCCATTCCATAACAAAATTATAAAATTATTTTAAATTATTATTAAAAAATATTTTTATTAAGTAAAATTATGATGATGTAAATATTTATTTCTTTTTGATATATTAATTTAATTTACATTTAGATATTATTCAAGATATAGCTGCTAAAGGTCTTAGCATGATATATGAATTTGGAGATGGAGAAAGTCAGCAAAAATTACTTACTAAACTTGTAGATACTTTAACATCAGGAAGAAAGTAAGTGTATTGTACATTAATTATAAAATATATTAAAAGCAATTCTTGAAATAATTCAGATAAATGGTGTTCAAATTAATAGATTCTGATGAAATGTATATTGTTTAAATAGAATAAATTAAAGTTATCTTAGAAAAAATTTATAGAAAAGATGTATTGATATTAATTAATGAGGAAATCTATGAATATTTTAATCTTATATATTTATCAGTAATAAAAATTGTTGATAAAAATCAGAAAGAATAAAAATTTTAAACATTTACTTATAAACAATACTGATAAATGAATTTAAAAACTGAAAATATGAAGTTTTTGAAACTGTCAGATGATCATTTATAAATACTGTTTAGAAATATACTGTTAATTCTTAAAAGTAGGCTGAAATGTACTATTGTGCACTACTATGAGAGTTATATTTTCAAAAATTAAGCACAATAACCAAACACATGGATGGTCAGATAGCCAAACAGTTAAAGGGGGGACCTCAGGATTGAATCTGGATGGGTTAAAAATCTCCAGTAATTTTTCAGGGGATGGTCTGTCCTGATATGTCAAGCCCCATGTATCACTACCCAGCCACTCCATTATAGGTCTGGCCAAACTCATAATAGGCTTGTAAAAAGAAAAAGACCCTCTTAGTTCCCACAGAGTAGAAAGAGTTAAAAAGCACATGAGAGTTTTACAGTAGAACATCATTTATCCGAATCAACTGGGGACTGGGGTTGTTCGGATAACTTATTTTTTGGATAACCGATTACATACGAAAAAATATATTAACCTATCCCATGTTGAAATTTTTCTTCGTTGCATGTCGCTTCGTGTTGAATTTTTGTCGAAAGCCTAACGTAAACTTTTTAAAATAATAATAGTGGCTATTGTATCGTTAAAAATTATTTNATTTATTAAATAAATTAAATAAAAATTTAAGAAAATGAAACAAAATGAAAAAACAAACCATATTTGCTTAATAGAACATTGTGGAGTGGAATAGTTCCATATTTTTTATAGCAAAAGTTACATATACATTTTCAATTAGTCACAGTTTGCCAACCTCTGCTCTAATGAATTTTTATAAACTATCAAATTTGGCAGTTTGTTTCAATATTTAAATGATACATAAGTACGTTCGTGCAAATATGTAATTTATTCTTATTTAGACTGTAAAAATATTCATTCATTGAGTGAAAATATCAAGTCATTTTGAATAAATGTTATAACAACTATATGTAATTTTTAAATAAATGAAATATATAGCATATTAGATGATACAAAAATTAAAATGGAAATAAAGCTTAAAACCAAATATTTAAATAGAAAATATGATGGTATTACTTTCCAAAGGTGCAAAATATTTTTAGGATCAAAATTTCTCCCATAATCATTATCACACAAAATAAAACAATAATTTACAAACAAATTAATAATTACTACTATGTAGTTTGAAAAATTGAAATTAAATCATACGGATTTGCTGTTCAACACTAAATATAAATTAAAATGAACAATTATTTTATTGTGAGATCGTCAATGCTGGGTTACAATTTTTAATCATATTTTTATTTTAGTTAATTCAAAATATTTGTTCTTCACCTCAAATTAGTAGTGTCTTGCCCCTGTACATCATACTTTCCTGCTAGCAGCAGTTTAGTGTCAGGTCATCTATTTAACTCCTTTCAGGGAAAAATTTTTTAATTGAAATAATGTGACTTTCGGTCCAAACCAGAAATTTGTATTAATTAATTAATTAATTAATTGGGGCCCCCTGCCCTAAACTTTCCATATCTGGTCTTGGCTTTCATCTGTCTAACTCCATTCTTGAGATTATGGAAAGACAGACAGATGGACGTATAACAGTGAAAATTTATTGGTCTACAATTTTTTCAAATTGCAGCCCAATAAAAGTTTTTTAACCTAAAACAACACTTTAATTTAAGCACATGTCATCATCATAGGATAGCATATAAAATAAACTTGATGTAGTACATTGATAAATAGAAATAAAATTGAAGCTGTGACTGACCTATGTTTAGAATGGGGTGCTAATTGACACACTTTCTGATGCCCAAAAATGCAAAATTTATTTAAGATGATGATCACTTTTTGGAAAAATTTGATTTAAATAATTTTTTCCTAAAAAGTTTAAGAAGTTCACCAAGTTTTTGCAAAAATATAAACTTTCTTGGAGTTTTTGGTTGGTTTTATTATTGTTTATTTTTTTGAAATTGGGACCATACTTTTATGGTGTTTTAAAATATATTTGTTGTTAATATTTTTTACTTTATAATAACTTTATGAAAAAATATGAAAATTAAAATAATGTTTATAAAAAATGATGATAAAATTTATATTTAGCTATTTAATCAAGACAACTGAAAACGTTATTAAATGCAGTTTTATTAATTTGAAAATTTTTCATATGGGGAACAAGTGAATATTTTGTTTTAATTCAAGCCCACATGAAATTTTACCCTGTAATAGTGTTGAAAAGTTTTGAAATAAAAATAGACTTTCTTTTTTGAAGCTTGGTTTTGGTTTTTCATAAAAATTAAAACCATGATTCAGTAAGTGAGACTGATTCATTTCTACTGCACGTATCTAACCATGGAAATAGACAGCGATGTAACAAGTGACTGACTGATCAGAAACAAAGTAAATGACATTCTAACTTCAGTTTTAAAACACAAAATTCCCAAATTTTGGTGAATTTCCCAATTAATGTCTATAGACTTAATTCTGTTTTATTATGTTTTTGCAGCTACTGCCTTAATATTACTTTTTCTGTCATAAATTTTTTTCAGGACTGTGGGATGCTCTGGCATAATTTCAAAAATCTGATTAAATAAAAAGAACAACTAGTTCTTATATTTGGATATTCTTCAAAATTATTATTGCCAAGTGTTTTTAATTCATTTTCATAAAATTGTTTAATTTATTTAATCAGCTGTTTTGTTTTTGTACCTATAACAAGTGTTTGTCTGAATCATGTAACAATATATATACATTTTAATAATCTCAATGGATATGGATTGTTGGATTTTAACTTCGACAAAGTTGTTTTCAACTTAAAGTGTTTTTTCAGAAGTTTGTTTATAAGTTTTTTCCTTGTATATAGTTTGTTCATGTTTATATAAACAAATATGTTTATGCATAATCTATGAATGGAAGTGGATAAGAAGAAACAAGACAAAAATTAGATTAGAAAGCACATTCAAATTAAAAGATCCTCATTAACTGAAAAGTCATATTCACAATGAATTTTGAGATAATTATATGACCATAAGATTGGAATTGCTAAGATGAATTGAGTGAATGGAAGTCTAGCTTTATTATATTAAAAGTATCTAAAAGATTTTCATTAAAATTTATGAAGAAACTGTATTGTATTAATTTGATGAATGAATTAATCTCAGAAAAATAATCCCAATGGATATCAATATTAAATAAGAAATGGAATTGTTAATATATAATTATTGTTTAAATGTGTATTTATTAATAACAGTCATTTATCTGTGTGTTATTAAACTCTGATAATGTCAAAATGATTTCTGAAAAATAATAATTATTATCTATTAAGATTAACCTATGGTTTTAACTTTTTAAACAATGTTTTATGTATTGTAACATATTAATTGTAAAGAAAACAGTCTATAATTTTTTTGACTTTCTGGAACTTCTTCATAACATGCAATTCTGTTGCTTGGCTTTCAGACATTGGACTTTACTTGTACACATTTTTAAGATCATGTTATGTCTGAAATTTGTGAACTGTTTGTATATTGCTTCTCAGTTAAAACATCTTGTTTTATGTTAGAAAATATTAATTAATTGCAATGTGTAAGAAACTATTGTGTTGCCTAATATTTTGGTCTCAAAATACTTCTAAATTAATTGTAGTATATATGTTACTGTGAATGACCGATATCTGGCGAATGTCAGCATTCACACAGTCATTTCGTGTATGTACGAAATATTTGCTAAATATCATTATTTTTTACTTACACTGGCAAATGTCGACATTCAGCATGCACTGATTGTGAATGTTGAAAAAAAATATTTTTATTACATTAAGACAAAAATCCAACTTTTTAATACGTCAAAATAGGAGGAAGCTTAAGTAGCAGCACATTAAATAAACTGTTGAACCTAAAACGAACAGTACATTCTTAATCATTAAAGAAAATACCTGTAATACTGTAATAAACTTACACATAAATTATGTGATTAACGTTATACAATCTTATTTATTGCAACAACTTAAACTGTATAGCACTTTGAATTGCACAAGAGTCCCTTGCTTTTACAACTGCATTTATTTGTGGAACACTTCTTTTTGCAATGACAGCATGTATAGCCTTACCCTCCACTTTTCAAATTAGCTGCAGCTGCTTCTCTGGGCGATATTTCTTGAGAAGAAATCTCATCTATGGAAAGTAACTTTTCTTTACAAATTACGAACTGATTACATTATTATGTGATTACGAACTGATCTGTTAATAGTGTCTTTTATTCATATATCGCTGACACCTTACTGACAACCCCTCTCATCCTCTGCCACTCGATCTGACAAACCGATCCCCACCTCACGGGATCAAAAGAACAAAAACACCATTCAGTGACAAAGTGGGCAGTTTCCACCAAACCGTTGCCGGAAAAAGAAGTACGACCATGTTCTACCTCTGGCTACCCACAAAGTATTTGGCAACAGACTGTCACCTCTCTGTCGACATCAACCTCCACCAAAGCTCATCTGTGCATGTTGCCATACACTGGTAATTGTTCAAATGCATAATAATATAACCAAATATTTGGTCTTTCACCAACATATTTTGTATGTGTTGACATTCACTGGAGAATATCGACATTCTCTAATTTCAGTCTTTCACAGTAACATATACAATATTAAAAGAACAATGAATATGTAATATTATTTATGATATTGTACATTCTCATACAACTAATATTAGATTTTAAAAAATGCTTCTTTATTATTATTATAAAATATTGATTTAAGTTTTAGCATTAAGTTTAAAACTGTTGTTGTTTTTTATTGTTAGGTCATCAATAACAGTTACAGAAGAAACAAAATTATTTAATGAAGGTTTATTGGGAAATTCTCCTACTGGGTAAGTCAGTAATTCAGATATTGTTAAAAGTTTCTGTTAATAAAAGAACTATTCATTTATTGCAAAAAACTGTGATATAATATTAATTATCATTTAATTAAATGTTGAATAAAATTTTCATGTATTTCTATTCAAATAATACTGTAATTTCCTACAAATAATCCATAGGTTATCTAAAGTTTGTTTGAAAGCAGCTGTGAGTTATTTGTCAATTTTAAATTGCAGTTATGAGTTCACCCAATAGCTATTTTTTTATCTAAACTTAATTAGTATGAGTGTCTTTCATAAAATTCTTTACACATTCATCTGCCATTGCAATTTTTTTTTAACTACCAAAAACACATATTTATATACCTCATCTTTAGTTGTCACTTGTTTTTATACTTCAATCCACATTTTAATTGATATTAGATGTTCATATTTAATCTTGTATTTTGAAACTTAATAAATTCCCAGAAATTTCTCTTTTCTATAATAATGATTCTCAGAGAACTATTAAAAGCAAACTATAAATTTTAGTACATATTAATTTTATACAGTATGTAAAAGCTAAATGATTGACTCTCAAATTCATATTCAATTCAATTCTTTATTATATGAACCTTAGTTTGTTACAAGGGGGTTAAAGAATTACATAAAAATGGAAGTTAGTACAATTTAACAAATCAATATAATAGCTTAGTATTACACAAGAAAACACAATAAGAATCATTTTTATACATATTATGTAAATTTGAAATTAGCAAAATTTAACAAATTAAATAAATAGCTTAGTAAGGATAACACAAAATAAAATACACCAAAATAATCATTTTTTGAAAAATGCAATAAATTATAAGGACCTTGAATAAGTTCTCACTGTTCTTTAACAGATGACGTTACCAGAACCATGTGTGTTTATTTTTAGATGGTGACGCATCTGTAAGGAAGTACAATAAGCGACCTTGAAATCCAGTATATATCATTTCACCGAAGTGTAAACAACTTATTTTTTTATTGTGTTAAACATGTCTAGTTTCGTGCCAAAAAAAGAGTATTTGCGGGGAATTTTATTGCACTATTTTATTCAAAAAAAATCTGCAGCTGAAGCACACAGAATTCTTGTTGAGACTTACGGCGACCATGCTCTGTCGGAAACAACATGCAGAGATTGGTTTAGACGCTTCAAAAATAATGATTTTGATGTTGAAGATAAAGAACGATCTGGTGCACCAAAAAAGTTTGAAGACAAGGAATTAGAGGCATTACTTCATGAAGACTCATGTCAGACGCTAGCTGAACTTGCAGAATCATTAGGAGTTGATCACACAACAGTTTCGAAAC